CCTTGAAATTGTCCCGTCCTTGGAATTCCATCCCTGGAATTCTACCCGTGGGATTGGCACATTCCCAGGATTGGCACATTCCCGGGATTGGCACATTCCTGGGATTGGCATGGATTTGGGATTGGCACATTCCTGGGATTGGCACATTCCTGGGATTGGGATATTTGTGGAATTGGCACATTCCCAGGATTGGTAAATTCCTGGGATTGGCACAGCCTTGGGATTGGCACATTCCTGGAATTCTACCCCTGGAATTGTCCCATCTCTGAGATTGTCCCAGTCTTGGAATTACCCAATCCTTGGAATTGTGCCATCCTTAAAACTGTTCCATCCCTGGAATTGTCCCAGTCTTGGAATTCTCCCATCCCTGGAATTCTGTCCCTGGAATTGTCCCATCCATGGAATTGTCCCATCCCTGGAATTGTCCCATCCATGGAATCGTGCAATGCCTGGAATTCTCCTACCCCTGGAATTGACCAATCCTTGGAATTGTCCTAGTCTTGGAATTATCCCATCCCTGGAATTCTTCTGTCCCTGGAATTGTCCCATCCTTGGAATTCCATCCCTGGAATTCTACCCCTGGCATTGGCACATTCCCGGGATTGGCACATTCCCTGGAATTTTACCCCTGGAATTGTCCCATCCATGGAATTGTCCCATGCCTGGAATTCTCCTATCCCTGGAACTGACCAATCCTTGGAATTGGCCCATCCCTGAAATTCTACCCCTGGGATCCCCCCTTGGAATTGTCCCATCCTTAAAATTGTTCCATCCCTGGAATTGTCCCAGTCTGGGAATTCTCCAATCCCTGGAATTCTCCCATCCATGGAATTCTCCCATCCCTGGAATTCTCCCATCCATGGAATCATGCAATGCCTGGAATTCTTCTATCCCTGGAATCGACCAGTCCTTGGAATTCTCCAATCCTTGGAATTGTCCCATCCCTGGAATTCTTCTGTCCCTGGAATTGTCCCATCCTTGAAATTGTCCAATGCCTGGAATTGTCCCGTCCTCAGAATTCCATCCCAGGAATTGTTCCATCCTTGGAATTCTACCTCTGGAATTGTCCCATCCTTAAAATTGTCCCATCCATGGAATTGTCCCATCCCAGGAATTGTCCCATCCTTGGAATTCTACCCCTGGAATTGTCCCATCCCAGGGATCAGCCCATCCTTGGAATTCTCCCATTCTTGAAATTGTTCACTCCTTGGAATTGTCCAATCCCTGGAATTCTGTCCCTAGAATTGGCCCATCCCTGGAAT